TTGAAAAGTCAAGAAAATATTGTGAGTGATACATACTCCAATACGATGTAATCATCTTATCTACAACTACAAGCGAGAGATATAGATCGATGGACGGAGCTGTCAATATGGAATTCTTGTGTTGAAATTGATGTCACACTATTCCTAAACAAATTAAGATTTGGATTTTTGTTGGAAAGCAATGAATGCTTTTGGTTCATACGTTTTTGGAAGTGATTAATACTCCAATGCTATCTTATATCTCCAACACACAGACTTTTGGAAGTGATCATAATGCTCCAATGCTTTTGGTTCATCCTATACGTTTTTTGGAAGTGATCATAAGACAAACCAACAATTCCTATCTAAAATTGATTTTAGAAGTCGTGTACCACGACAATCAATAATACATCATATCTTGATTTTAAATTTAAATTTAATTTGTTTTAGAAGTATATAATATTTATATACAACAAATGCAACAAATAAACTCACACACCCTTTTTACATTTGGTGAGATTTGAACCTCTTACCTCCTACAAGGCCAAAGGCTCTGATGTAGCTAGACCAAATGCCCTTTTGGTTAAATTTTATATTGATTTAAATTGTGCTAAATTATAATCCTGATGAATATATGGAACTTGATTGAATTCATTCACCTAACCCCAACACTCGGTAACTCGTTCACGCCTCTATGGTCCATCGCATCTCCTCAATGGGCACCTACATTAGACTATTAATGAATTAGTTTATTATATAAAGATTATTTGAATGCTTGTATAGGTAGAAATAAGTAGTATCACACATATCAACATGTTATGTGACTGTTCGATAGTCTTTGTGCATCTAAATCTAAATGATAAAAATCTCAATTTAAATAATATGTAACTTCAACTTTAGCGACGTTGGTACAAAACCGTACTAAGATGTACTAATAAAGAAAATTGGTACCATGTATATTTGGTTGGTATATATTATAAAATTTTGCGCACCAATTATAATTAGTTGGTACATGGTATTTGGAAAAATATATGGACCATACCTTGTTCCCCCCTAAAAATTTCTTCATATTTGAAGAAATTTGTAAAACTATTTTAGAGGAAAGAATGTGTATTAATTGTTTTTTTTGCTTATTTCTTCGTTTTCTAACCAATATTCGAGTTGAATATAAATTTCTGACTTTTGTCTATCTATTTTGAAAAAAATTGTAAAAAACCCTGTCGGAGATGATGTAAGGACCTTAATTACAAGGCCAACCCAACGATTATCTTCAGTTAATTTTCTCAATTTACATATATATATTCACAGTTACTAAACATATATACGAATGAGTTATATAGATATATGAATAGATTGAAAATATGTGTATATGAAGAGCATACGTGATAGTGTAATTGTCTAATGTGTATATTAATAGAAATTCAACAATCATATTAAATCCAGGAAATAAAAGGAATTCAGGTTCATCGGGTTAGGTTGAGTTTAAATAATAGTAACCCAATATCAACCCAATACCTATGGTTTGAAAATTTTACAACTTGATTAGACATCGAGTTGCTTCAAATTGAGTTATTTTGCGTTGGGTTGAGTTGGATTGATCGGGTTTTTGAACACCCCTATCCACAGCCAACAGAACTTACTACCTTGTCTGACATTTATGTACATTAAAACCTTGATTATAGACTGATCAACATGACAAATTGTTATTAGTTAATAGCATTTCAAATGGATTTAAAAAAGTTTGATCTTATACATAAATAGCATTGGCATGTATTTAATAAATTATTTGATGTACATAACAATTTAATAGCATTGTTATTTTACATGGAAACTTGGAAGTTTGTTGAAAAGTCATGAAAATATTAAGAGTAATACACACTCCAATATGATGCTATCAGTTCAACTCTACAAAAAAGACAAGTAGATAGTGTGGTTGAGAATGAAATCCAATTTGATTAGAATTGACCATTGACTAAATGAGTTACAAGTACTCTGTAATATTCCTAAAACAAAGAGAATTTTGAAAGTTTTGTTGGAAAATGTTTTTTTCTTTTCGTATGCTTGGAAGTGATTAATGCTTTTACATTATTTTATCTCTCCAAAAGATAAAAGTTGTGGTTGTCAATCAATGAAGTAGATTTATGCATGATGAAAATTGACTATTGACTTCATGACTTATATTAAGCTGTAGTATCGAAAAGCATATATAACAAATGTTTAGAAGAAAATAAGTGTACGATTTCAGAAAAAGAAGGAAAAAAAGTGTAGATCAGCTTAAAGGGATGTAAAGAACTACCAATTTATATGTTACTCATAAGAGCTATGTAAATCAAGAACTTTATTTGTCATATTAAGAGTCTGTTTGTTAGTAGGTTAATAAGCTTAATGGGACTAGGGCCTTTTTTCGTTAGCTATACCTGATGGTTTGGTAGTATTTTAATGATATGATAAGTTTGTTGTAAAGTCAAGGAAATATTGTGAGTGATACATACTCCAATACGATGTAATCATCTTATCAACAAGCGAGAGAAATAGATCGATGGACGGAGCTGTCAACGTAGAATTCTTGGGTTGAAATTGATGTTACAATATTCCTAAACAAATTAAGATTTGGATTTTTGTTGGAAAGTAATGAATGCTTTTGGTTCATATGTTTTTGGAAGTGATTAATGCTCCACCAATGCTATCTTGTATCTCCAAGACACAAAACTTGTGGTTGGCAATCACTAAAATAGACTTTTGTATGGAAATTAAACGTTGAATTTATGACTCCTATTAAGAATATACACACATCCAATGTTTGTATTAAGTGTAGTTTGGGTTAAAAAGGCTGTAAAAACATGCCAGAATTTAGTTTATTCATAAGAATTATGCAACCAAAACAATCAAGAACTTCATTGTCATGTTATGTTTTTACTACATGTACTGAAATATGTACTAATAGTTATAGGCATACCACATACTTATTTCTCCCATTTCCTTGCAAATATTGAATCTTGATCCAGATCCCACCAGGAACAAGAAAGAGTCGTTCAGAAACACATTATTTAATGTCATACTGTTACTCTTACTTTTTGCAAATTATTTTTGCTATAACTTGTTCTAATTGACCTTTCTATCTCCACTCTGCTTCCCCGTCTTAAGTAGATCAGTAATTTTTAACGTTATATGTTTCTTTTTTGGATCAACTTCTATCATTTAGGATTTATTCTTATGGTTGGACAATTTCCATTTAGGCTCATAACAGCTCTTTTTACGTCTAGCTTCGACATATCTTATGCTTAGCGCGAAATGGTTTTGGTCACCTGCACATAGCTTGATACTACTCTAGTTACTCATTCACATTTGTCCCTACTTTGTTAATCAAACTCCTTTTGGCAAGTTGACTTGTCCCAATTACGAAAAAAGTAGGATACCTTCGAACATCTTGAAATTAAAATAGTAAAAGTTAGATGACGTTAGTAACATTTTTGAGTGCGTGTTTTGTAAGTTATAAATTACGTATTATTGGGAGGAACATGAAGAGGTGGATAGGATGACGGTACTTTTTGTATATGGCTTGATTTGAAGTTGTAGAAGAAATTTGAAAAGTTTTGTTTGATTTTCGAAAAGTCAATAATGTATTTGTTTTTAAAGTTTGAGAGTAATTCATACTCTTTATCACCTCTCTCTCCAAGGGGAAGAAGTGAGTCAGGATATCAAGTTTAGATTTGTATGTAGACTTACGATATTAATTGCATGGATATCAACCAGACTTGGTATCATGTGAAATTTGTTTTCTTGTGACTCACGAGAACACCTTTTTACACTTAAAACTTTACAACAAAAACTGTGAAGGTAACATTCACAGTATTTTTTCCGTGACGGTTCAGATTTTTTTACCTTCAATGAAGTAGACTTACCCTGTTACGATTGACATGATCTACACCTCATTAAAAAACTACACAAATTTCAAGTATTACTCTTTTGTTTAAAATGAAAAAAGTTAAATTTGTGATCTAAAAAGAATTTAGAACCAATTGGATCGTTGATCAACTATTTCGACAAAATGAGTATTTATGATTTATCCCGTCTTCATTCAAGAGCTTCATTTGTCATGTTAAGTCTTTACTACATGTACCGAGTACCAACCACATGCGATTAGGTTTATTTTGTGCGATAATTCACAAAAAGTCAGTTGATTGATGGTTTAGTTTCTTGGTGACCGCAAGTAAAGAGCGAGGATGAACATTTATACAAAAACAGAACTAAGGGGTAAACGCTTACCGGTAGGAGTCAACACTATAATTTATTATCCTGGTAAGATTGTAGTATATAAAAAGGGTATCATAAGCAACAATTTACCTGACAAGCGTTTACCCTGGTACGAGTTTTCACCCTCACTTACACTTACAGGGCAAGACTCTCCATTCTTATCATCGCTCTTACCAAGTAATATTCTCGTCCCTTGCCATGCTCATCCGGTGAGGAAAATTCACCCGGTAAGCATTTACCGGGTAAACATTTAGTAAACGACCCCTAAACAAATGTCACCTTAGCTTATCGCCTGACCGCCTCGGACCACCGAGGTGTATGCCTCAAACAATTTTTACAAATATGTATCTATAAACCCAAGTTCTGAGTATCAATCATTTGTCTCAAAAGAAAGAGTTCAATATGTGTTCAAAAAATAACTTAGAAACAATTGTATTGGGAAGAGTTCAAATTTAAAATACAACTCTTTTTTGAAATGAAATGTTTGATTTTAGGGGTTGTTTACCCAAATATTTACCCGTTAAGCGCTTATCGATAAGAGTTAACACTATAATTTATATTATCGGGTAAGTTGAATATTGTGGTCCCGCACAAGTTGCAATTATCATTGTGTTAGCAAGATTATTTCTTCTATATAAAGGCCAACCCAGAAGGAGAAAGTAAGCTTTATTGTGAGTGTGTCTAAAAAGCCATCATTCTTAATTAGTGTAGCAGCTAAAATGGAGTGTTGGTGTGTGAGTAAGATTAAATCATGGTTGTTGATATTGATGACGATTCTTCTTCTCATGGTTTGTCAAATAGAAGGTGGTTGTATAGAAGAGGAGAGAAAGGCGCTGCTAGAAATCAAAACTTCCCTTATTGATTCAAACTTTCTCGATTTGAATGGATTTCTCCCGAGTTGGGTTGATGATGGCAGTAGCGGTGGCGAGTGTTGTGATTGGGAGAGGGTCACGTGCAACCCAACCACTGGACATGTAACAAACCTGACTTTGAGAAACATGGTGGGGCTTCCAAAGCAATTTTATAGAGACTGCAAGAGGACTAATTGGCCATTAAATGTTTCTGTGTTTCTTCATTTTAAAGAGTTAACAAGTCTCAATTTGTCAATGAATTGCCTTGATAACAATATTGTGAAGACAGGTATTATGAGTTACCGTATTTGCTTGATATGGAATTATGGAAATTGATATCATATACATGTTTGACCATGAATTACGAGTACATTGACTCTAATCATATTCATGAACATTTATTTTTGACTGGATGGTGCTTGTAAGTTGACCAAGTAGAATAAGTTGACTCTGTTATTAACTATTTATTTTTGAAGTTACCTTCCTTGATATCACGTTATAACTCTTCGATTTTACAGGACTTGGAAGGTTGTCGAGTTTGAAGAAGCTAGAGACACTGGATCTTAGCTATAATAGCATTACTAATGTGACCTTTCCTTCACTGGGTTCTCTGACTTCACTCAGAGTTTTGCATCTCGATAACAATGACTTGGAAGGATACTTGCCTGCTCTTGGCATGTTTTTGGTCCTTTTTAATTAATATTTGGAATAACATGCATGTTCTAATTATACGTTTATAATACATGTATTTTCAACAAATTTCAGCTTTGGAAAACTTGGAGATATTGGATCTCTCCCATAATTATATGGAAGGTAATGAATATGATGTTAAACTCATTCAAGAGGCATTGCTCCTCTTGGAGATATTCCATTCCCAATTATTTTTTTGGTCTTCCATTAAATGCAAATTTGACATCTTTTTCTTTTCTCACTTTTTTATGAATAATTAGTTTAAAAAAATATCACAAAAATAATTAGTCGAATATAAAATTTTTGATTTGAGTATGCATTTATAAATGTTTCGTTGGTATTACAGGCTTCGAGCAAGTTTCTCTATTGAAGAAGTTGAAAATTCTAAATCTTCGTGGGAATAATTTCAATGAAAGCCTTATAACATCTTTAAGTGCTCTTCCAATCCTTAAATCCCTTGATCTTGTTGGGAATGAAGGGTTGTATGGAACGTCATTTCCAGTTGAAGGTATGATGTATTGATTATCTAACTTCTCACATTTTTGTCTCCTCTCGAATTAACTTAATAGACTTTATCTTGTTTTTAGTTCATCATAGACATAGATGGACCCAAAATAAATTAAGCGCTCACATCATTTTATTATAAGAAAAAAAATATATGGATATTTTTCACAGAATCATCATTGCTCAATTAGTTCATTCATTGCTTTTCATATATAAGGTCATGTGATTAAGTCTTTTATTACAATTTTTTTTTCCAGAAACATAATAAATGTGAAACTAAAAAACTAAAAACTAAGAAAATGACACTAACAAAATTCAAACTCATGTGTGAAGTGGAAGAAAAACATTGCAAACTAACTCTAAACTTGTGTCCTTATAGTTTCAAGGGTTGGGTTCATGTGAGACCAGCCTGTTTTCGTGAGACCCGTGAGACCACATTTTTACACGTAAACTTCACAGCAAAAACACTGTGAAAGTTTTAAAAAAGTCGAACCTTCACAGCAAAAACACTGTGAAGGTTTTAAAAAGTCACCTTCACAACATTTTGCTGTGAAGTTTCAAGTGTAAAATGCTGGTCTCTCGGGTCTCACGAAAACAGGTTGGTCTCACATGATCCCAAGTCATAGTTTCAATATATATATATATATATATATATATGGTGACACACAACAAATTTGATACGGTGACACTTTTCATGATCCTATAATTTTTTACACTACAACAGAGGAATGAAACAGTGACATATGCCACCACTTGAACCCTGATCATAGATTTATATGTTTATTTATAATTTATTTACATGTAGTAGTGGTTGTTGAATCGAAGTTTAAATGTGTAGTTAATTTGTTTATGTTAATTTGTGCCTGTTACTCTATATATATACTATTGAAAATGTGCATATATTACATGATATAAATCATATTTGTTGTAACAGTTATTCATGATACACAAATAGTCACATTCTTTAAATCACTATTAAACATGTTTGATGTCTTTGAAATTAACAAGTTAAAATGTGACTACTTTTTACGTTCACCGATTTCTGTAAATATATGATTAGTTTTGCGGATATTATAAAAACACTTACTCTTTGACATAATTTAGTTTTTGCATAAGTACCACTCATACATATTTGGATGAAACTAGTTTCAAAATGTACATTTAAAGCGGCACATGATTAGTTTATGTTTTGGTTCATGTGACAGAATTAGCCAAGCTCACTAATCTAGAGGAGTTGGATCTAAGTGGTAACTGGTTCAATGACACATCAAGTATCCAAGGTAAAAGGAGATCTAGCCATGGTTAACTTGTGCATACTTTAAAAATATGAAGAAACAAAAATGGTTTCATAAAAGTTGCTTGTTTTTCTACAGAATGTACGAGATTATCGAGATTGAAAAAGTTGAAGAGCATAACACTTTATGGGAACTATTTCAGCAAGAACATCATTTCATGCTTAAGTGCTCTCCCATCCCTCAAGACTCTTGATCTTTCATATGGTGCTTTATCAGGAGGTTCTTTTCCCATCAAAGGCATGTTCTAGACGACTATATTTTATTTTTACTATTATTTATTGATTTCCCTTTTAAATGGTTAGAGTGTTAAAATGAGTGTTTAAAATTTTTTAATTGATTAAATTGCAATAAAAAGTAGGGGCAAATTGCATAGGAATATAACCATTTTGGTCTTATTCATATTTTGTGTAAGATACTTTCAAATCTTAATTGTTACCCAAGGAATTGAACTCATACAATTTTTTCTAAGAAGTATGTCCGTTTCTGTTCTAGACCTCATATTTCAAAAAGAAAAAAAAAAGAATTAACAAATTTATAAAGTACATATTGGCTTTTAAGGGACATTGTGATCTAGAGGAAGGAAACACAGGTAATTCAAACCTCTTGTATACAACACCATTACTCCCCCTCCCATCCCTTGCCACCTCTAGCCGCCCCATCATTGTCCGCTTTTTACACGGCCCATCACATAGAAAAATGTAAGTAACCAACTTTTAAAAGCTTAACGGTTTATTTGTAAAAAAAATGTTCATAGACTTAATTATTCAAAATGAAAAAATTTGATGGTTTATTAACTTAAAAAAAGTTCAAGGCTTTAAATTTATCTTCCTTTTTTTGATTCTTTTGCGTTTCTCTCTCCTTTTTAATCTTTCTACACATACTCTATTACATTGTTGTAAATGAGGGAGATCGAGTCACAAGGTTCGGGAACACTACAACTTATTCAGTTTTTTTTTTTACTTTAAAACCTCCCAACCTATTATAAAAAAATGTAAATGATGAACTTTTAAAAGTTCGACGGTTTATTTGTTAAAAGATTATCGATATTGATATCAAAATAACTATTTAAAAATTCTCGTTTTTTATGTAATTTCTTTGATTCAAATTTTTTATTATAATTTAGTTTAGGTCTAATAATAAATCAACTTATTTTTGGTTTAATAATATAATTTTTTTATAAAAATAATAATTAAGTATTCTATTACTTTTGGTTTAATAATATAACTTTTTATAAAAATAATAATTAAATATTCTATTAGAACTCAACAAGTACCCTAATTATATTTTATATTTTTTATATTTAAAATATGATGTTTATTTTGTACATGATTATGTTTATTTGTAATTAGTTACGCGAATTAAAAAATAGAGGTTTAATAAGTTGTATTTAGGTATAATTTACTTGTAATCCTGAGTAATATGCATCAACAAACACTACTTCATACATAAAAAACGGTTTTTAAGAGTTTTTGTCAAATTATTTATAATATAGATACATAATGAAAGAAAAGGAGGGTGACCATAAGGACATGATGCTTGTCACAGTAGCATTGTTCAAATATTTATTATTGAATAGGTTTAGTCGTATTACGACATAAAATGATTGCTTCATATTATATCAAAGAAAGTGAACAAAATGAATAAAACTATGTCACTTATAATCAAGATTGTCTTTGAAACTACTTAACATATATTTGGATCAAAATCTACATTTTAAATGCCACATGATTACTTTATTTATGTTTTGGTTCATGTCACAGAATTAGCCCACCTCACTAATCTAGAGGAGTTGGATTTAAATCATAACATGTTCAACGACACACCAAGTATCCAAGGTAAAAGGAGATCTAGCCATGGTAACTTGTGCATACTTATAAAATATGAAGAAACAAAAATGGTTTCATAAAAGTTGCTTGTTTTTCTACAGAATGTACGAGATTATCGAGATTGAAAAAGTTGAAGAGTATAAGTCTTCGATGGAACTATTTCAACAAGAGCATCATTTCATGCTTAAGTGCTCTCTCATCCCTCAAGACTCTTGATCTTTCATATGGTATTTCATCAGGAGGTTCTTTTCCCATCAAAGGCATGTTCTACACGACTAAATTTTATTTTTATTATTGTTTATTGATTTCCCTTTTAAATGGTTAGAGTGTTAAAATGACTGTTTAAAAAAAATTAATTGGTTAAATTGCAATAAGAAGTTGAGAAAATTACATGAAAATATAACATATATTGGTCTGATTCATATATTATGTAAGATACTTTCAAAATCTTAATCCTTATTGAATGAATTGGACCAACTCATGAAATTTTTTCTAAGAAGTAACAAATGTACTATAAACTACTTCATCTTGGCTTTTAAGGGACATTGTGATCCACAAGAAGGAAACACGGGTAAATTACTCTTAAAATTTGTTATGTTGGTTATCATATAAATCAACTGAAGTTCAAAAATAATTTCTAAAGAGAAAAGTGTAGAAAAACTCATCAAATTTTCCTATTTTGAATGACTAAATTTTTGAACTTTTTTTAATAAATAAATCTTTGAACTTTTAATAGATAAACCATCAAACTTTTAGAAATTGATTACTTACAGCTATTAATTTGACCAAATCCTACGTCATTCAAATCTCTTGTATGCAACTACATTACTCCCCCCCCCCCTCCCATCCCTTGCCACCTCTAGCCGTCCCATTGTTGTCCGCTTTTTACACCGCCCATCACCGTTGTTGGTCCTTGCTATTGATCTTCCTCTTTTTGATTCTTTTTTGTTTTGCGTTTCTCTCTCCTTTTTTATCTTTCCATACATACTCTATTAAGTTGTTGTAAAAAAGGGAGAATCAAAAGACAAAAAATCAGATAAAAAAAGGGAGATCGAGTCACGAAAACCGATTATAGAAAAATGTATGTAACCAACTTTTAAAAGTTTATTTGTAAAAAATATGATTAAAAAAATGAGCAAAAGTTTAAAAAAATCATGTGCTTGGTATCGTTTAACAATCTAAAACAATAAATGATTTTTAATATAACAAAATTTTTATCATAAGAATTGCTTAAAAGGAAAGGTTGATGTTGTGACATTATTTTTTAAGACATATATAATTGACTATTTTTTTTATTTTAAATTATTTAAGTTGTAAAAGAATTATCATTATAAAACCTAAATCGCTTTTTATAAAAGAATCACATTTTATTAAAATGATAATAACAACTCAATTGCGTATATGTCTCTTTATTTATTTCAGACCTGCTTCATTTATCTGATCTAGAAATCCTCCTCTTAAGCGGTAATCATTTCAATGGAACACTGCCAATGGAAGGTAAGCGTTATTTCTTCATCCTTTTACAACATCATTGTTATTGCTTTTAAAAATGTATTCAAGTTATCGACTCATGAAAAAATGATCCTTAATTATTTAACAAATCCTTTTTTAATGTTTTTGTTTAAATACGTATATTAATCCTTATTTCACTCTTGTTGTTTTCTAGTTTTCACATCTTTTCACCATCTGGAGGTCTTAGATTTGGGTTGGAACAATTTTGTTGGGAGCATCCCATCAACAATAAATGCATTATCACCTTCCATTAGAACTGTCTCATTTGCTTACAACAAGCTCAACGGCTCGATACTTGGTATGTTATCTAGACCATTCACGATTTATAACATACGAAAGCAAAGTTCATGTAGCATATATAGCTACATCCATGTACACTTTCCGTTACATTACATTAGCCCGATAGTTGATCTTTGACATCATATGACCATGCAAGTGTGATTCGTTACATTACAATAGCGTGGTTGTTTAATTTAATTATTTTCTTTTGACAGGTCTATGTGAGTTGAAGAACCTCCGGGAGTTGGATCTTAGTCACAACATGTTCGAGGGAAACCTGCATCACTGTTTCAATAGTCTATCATCTCTTAAGTTGTTGGATATTTCTTCAAATCAATTCACGGGAACACTTCCGCCATCACTGATCGCCAATCTCACATCTCTTGAGTATGTTGATTTTAGTGATAACAAATTTGAAGGTGCATTCTCATTTAGCTCATTCTCC